GTTGATTTGAAACTAGAAATCTGAGTAGTTACAAATGCTCTATTCGCATAAATACTTTATTACTGGTCTGCACAAAATAGCAATGAAATAACGCAAACATACTAACATCTTGTTTATATCATTTGGGACCTGTTTAGGAAAAAAAATGAAATATTTATGGTTTCTTTGTTTATATAATGCTTGATAGGTAGTATTTTCTTTCGAAATCTTTCATTAATAGGAAATAAATGATTAAACATCCAAACTGGCAAAAGATCCCAGTTGACTTTGTTTTAGTGTCTCAAGGTATGGGTTATGAAAGTAGAAATGGACTCAAAGCATAGGTAATTAGGATGGTGGGTGTCAGAGCATGACGTCTTAAATTTCATTCCTACTGATCTACTTTAAAAATAAGTTATGGGTTATGGAAGAGAGACAACTGGTATAAGAAAGAAAGATCACATGCTCCTTACCTCTAACTTCTTTTTTATAAATAGGACAAATACAAGAAAATGGCCACCCATGGAACTTGAGATTTCTTTGCTAACTTACCCATGTGGAAAAGGAATTCAAAGCAATAGTAATCATGTTTTTATCTTTCATCCAAGCTTATTCATGCGAAATCAACATAGGCAATCAATAATTTCTTAGTACAATTCAAGCTACAAAGCAATTCAGCCATCATCCATGGAAGATACAAAAGGAAGGGTGAGTATGGCTAGGTATTCAATCAAATACTTTAAGAGTTTAGGTTCCTATTGTAGGAAGCTTCTCACCTTAATTTTAAAGAGGTTTCATAATCTTGTTCAGCCTCAGAGAAGTAGAGTTGCTGATCTTCTCATAGTCTTGGGGTTTGGAGCTCGCTCTTACACTTCTTAAATTACATGTTTGTACATTCAATCTCTTTAATGTGGAATTTTTGTAATTCTATTAACTGATACAAGTCCTTTGGGAATTAATGCATCTGTATAATGCCGCCGATTCATATTTTATTAATTCCAAGATTTTCTTGTATGAAATGTCATCTCTCTCTTTTTGTAGTTTAATTAATGTGCTCAAATGCCCTAGCAATTGGTCGAAGCTGCCAGAAGGTATATTCCCCATGACAGTGGTCAAAGCTGCCGTGGGGTATATTCCCCCATGACAACTTCGATTAACATAAGGCAAACAATGATAATGTCATGATCGCAAATACCCAAAAGCCTACTTTTGGAGTGTCACTTACGATTGAAAAGACTAAAAAGGCCCAATTATGGAGAGATTGGCCTGTGATTGAAAAGACTCTAAAGAGGTAACAGTCAAATGGCAAGGTTATGATGGAAAATACTAATTCTAGATTGTTACCTCGTTATTGAAAAGAAAATAAAGTTAATTTTGGAATGATGAGGCTGAAAAGACTAAATATGGAAGCTCATGGAGAATGGGTTATGAATCAAGATATATTGAAATTTTGATTGAGATTAGGTTTCAAATATTCAAATTGAATGCCCCTTGTTCAGACTCAGAGAAGCAAAGTTGCTAATCCTCTCGTAGTCATCTCGGTGTTTTGAGCTCTTAGTTGCACTTCCTAAAATTACGTGTTTATACATTTAATCTCTTTAATATGGGATTCTCGTAATTCTTTTAACTGATGCAAGTCCTTTGGGAATTAATGCATTGGTATAATGCTACCGATTCCTATTTATTAATTCCATTTTTTTTTTTTGTGGAATTGCCTCTCTATCCTCGTGTAAATAATGTGCTGCAAATGTCCTAGCACGGATATGGTCTCCTTGACAACTCCGATCAACAGCAAGCAAACAATGATAATGTCACAATCACAAAGACCCAAAGGCCTAATTTTGGAGTGTCCGTCTCACGATTTGAAAAGCTTAAAACCCAATTATGGAGAGATTGGCCCATGATTGAGAAGACTCTGAAAAGCTAATAGTCGAGAGATATGGTCGTGATGGAAAATACTAATTCTAGAGTGCTAGCTCCTTACGAAAAAGAACAAAAAAACATAATTTTAGAATGATAAGGCTCATACTAGAAGACTAAAAGCCCAAATTTGAAAGGTTATGTAGGATGGGGTTATAAATCAATATATGTTGAAACTTGGATTGAGATTAGGTTTCAAATATTCAAATTAAAGCCCCCTGTTCAACCTCAAAGAAGCAAAATTGTTGGTCCTCTCATAGTAGTCTCGGGGTTTGGAGCCCTTAGTTGCACTTCCTAAATTATGTGTTTGTACATTCAATCTCTTTAATGTGGGATTCTCGTAATTCTATTAACTGATACAAGTCCTTTGGGAATTAATGCATCTGTATAATGCCACCGATTCCTATTGGTTAATTCCGAGAATTTTATTTTGTGGAATCGCGCCTCTCTCTCTCGTTTAATTAAGGGAAAATTTTGTATAGAACCTAATTTTTTGTATTATTTTATGGTATACCCTCTTTCCGTTTTTTTTTTTCAAGTGGCATTAGAAAACCTTTAAAGATTTCACTATACCCACTCATATCTTATCTCTATCTTTTATTCATAAAAAATAGCTCCAACAAATCCAAAAGCTTTTTAATTGGTGGAAAGGGAAAAAGAGACTTAAGGATTTCCTTATGTTGTTTGAAAGAAAAATGAAAAGAGAGTTTACCATGAAATAATATGAGAAATTAGAGTTCTATACTAAATTTTCCCTTTAATTAATGTGCCGCAAATGCCTTAGTACGTAGTCAAAGCTGCCATAGGGTATATTCCCCACGACAACTCCCATCGACATAATCACAAAGACCCAAAATCCTAATTTTGGAATGTCAATCTCACGATTGAAAAGACCAAAAGATCCAATTATGGAGAGATTGGACTCTGAAAAGCTAATAGTTGAGTTATAGGGTCGCAGTGGAAAATATTAATTCTAGAGTGTTCTCATAATTCTGGAATGATAAGGTTAATATTGAAAAGACTAAAATTATTTGACTTTAAGAAACTAACACACAAAATGAAAGTTAAAAAGTAAGGAAATTATTGAAAAATCATGCTTTATAAAAACTTATTGCGGAAATTAATTTATGTCGTCATAAAACAAACTTCAATTAAATAAAATTAGAGATTTAGAGATCAATATTTCATTTGAATTGAATAATTTAAAAATTAAATTCAATCTAAACTTTAATCTAAAATATAGGAAGAGAGAAAAAATGAATACGATTAAAATGACCACACCCACTCGTTTGGTCTATCATTTGGACGACCTTTAAAGACAGCATATTATCCTTAGTTTGAGAAGTTTTTTTTGTTAATTTGAGTCATTACCAAACTTGTAATAGCCCAAGCAATATCCTTCTCTATTATGACATAAACCATTAAACATACTTGTTAGAGTTGATTTTCACTAGTTTGAAAGGCCTGTTATCACATATTTAATTAGATATTGACAATAACCATTTATGGAAGTCACAAGAACAGTTAAACAAGAGTCCCAACTCCATTGCCCTAACTTCTGCTAAATATCTTATCCCCTTGTGAAAGTCCTACCCTCTTTCACGAATCATTAATAACCTGTTTATGCCAAGTGTTTACTAGGGTCCTAAATGCACCTTGTTGTGAAATAATGAATCCTATCCTAATTTAGTCATGAATGCCAAGTTGTCATAATTCAACTTACAAATGCTCAATTGAATTTGCATGCTTGTGGTCATAGTTGGCCACTTGTTTATTTCCATTATCTCTTCTTTTCTTATAGAAAGTACCAAATTATTTTCAAAAAATTGCACTAAGAAACAATATAAATCACACGATTTATTATTACTTTTTTGCAAAATAATTTGTTTCCTAAAAATATCTCTTTTTTAAAGATAATGAGGTATTAATAAAGCAAGCATGCACTGGTTGGTTAATAAAGCAAAAACCAATTCCTCTTGAGATAAGTCCAGTTTGATATAAGTTTAGATTTGCAAGCAAAGTTTGATATAAGTTTAGTAACAAAAAGTAATACTCAAGATAATGGGCACAGTCATCAAAGTGTAGTGTAAAAGATAGTGGAGCAATAATTTTGTCATATCTTCCACCTCTCATTTGAAATTCTGATAAATGGTCCAGTTCATACATCTATATATGCAAGCAAAGATTAATAACAACTATGTAAACACATTTAGGTGTATGTATGTATTATGCCTTGTTAGAGTTAGTGTGAGAGAGCATATATTGTGATGCTTGGAGAGAGAGAGAGTAATGGAGAATGAGGTATTCTAGGTAGAGAGAGAGAGCCTTATTTTGTGATTCTTCTCTCTCTCTCACTACTTAGAATACCTCATTTTCCATTATCTTTCCTATAGAAATCCTCATTGGAAAATCTATTATTGTCTGGAATCCTCATTGGAAAATCTATTTTTGTGTCCACCCATGCATGCTTGTGAGTTAACTAAGACCCAAAATAACTTCCATCAAAATCTCAAAACTTGATAACAGATAAGAATAGGAACCAAAGTGGTGACAGAGTGAAACCAAGGTTCAAAAAGTACAGAGTACATATGCAACAAACTTTTAACCCATATAATCTCACGTTCATTTTGGCTACACTAAATAAGAACCCTAAAGCCCATTCTAGATTAGGAAGAATCTCTCACTATCCTTTAAGAGCATGCCCAGCCTCCTTTTAGAGAGAGAGAGAGAGTGGGACCCACTTTCCCCATTTCAATTAAAGAGAAAGACAGTGGACCCCACTTGAAACGTCTGATAGGGCAGATGACTCATTTCTAAGAATAGGTTCTTCACCAACCCGACTTGTCATGCATGCACAACAGGGAACCCTAGGAAACAACCCTTTTAAACCTTACCGCACCATCACCCCTCTCCATATCCATACATATATGAACAGAGCTCCGCTCTGTCTGTGTTTCTTTTCTGGACTAGAGTCAAACATATCCATGGAATCTCAAAAATCTAGCACCTCCGACTCTCTCACCATCACCGCCCCTCAGGACCACCATGAATCCCAGTTGGCCATCCCCAAGACCCAGTCCCACCCCACCCCCACTGCGAACATGGGGCTCACCGCCCCGGCCTCACCTATGCTCGGTTGTATCCAGCCCTTTTTGCCCCATTTAAATTCCATTCCCGAGGAGAATGAGGCTGAGAGCTCTGTTGCCGGCTCCCGAAATCCCGAAAGGCAGTATTCTTGCTCATACTGTCCACGCCTGTTTATAAAGTCTCAGGCATTAGGCGGCCATCAGAACGCGCACAAAAAAGAGAGGATGGCCACTAAAAAGGCCTTGAAATCTAACGCACATGCAAGCCAAGGGCTCCAAAACATTGCCCCCGATCCACGTAGTTCGATCGTAAGGTATGTGAACCCGTATGAACAAACACGGATGCAGCAATGGGCTTGGGCTCAGTATGCTGCAGCAGCCCGTAACTTTAGGCAAAGCAACATGTTTCAGAATGGAAGAGGAGCCAGTGCTTCGCCATTGATGCTTAACGGGATGGAAGTGGGATACCATGCACCAGGCATTGACCCGACTGTAAGACCCACTTATCAGTTGACGGGCAACGCTGAGATGGTCGATCTCACGCTGAAACTCGCAAGTAATGAGGAGCCGATCGATCTGACTCTGCATTTGTGAAGGATCGGCGGTGATGCTTTCATGGGGAGGGATAAGACCGTAGGCTGGTGCATTTTAGTTCGGAACATAATAAATAAATTAAATGAAAGAAGGATGTGAGCGATGGTATTCTATGTCCAATGAATCTGCATCATGGGTGGCAGATTCCCTTTTTCTTTTTTGTTATTTATGCGGTGTGTTTTTTTTTGTTTGAGTTTCTTTTTTTTTTTGGATGTTCAATTTCTTTTGTTGAATTCATTTTATGTTGCATGAATCTGCATCATGGGAGGCAGATTCCCCAGTTTTTTTTTTGTATTTATATATATATTTTTTTAGTTTCTTTTTTTTTTGGATGATTACTTTCTTTTGTTGAGTTTCACAGTAGGTTTTTGTTGAATATAATGTTGGTGAAATAGTTGCAGACAAAATATATAGTGGTGCCAACAAGTTTACGCAAGTGAGCGTCGCATGCTCAGTATAAATACCCCTAGTGTATTTTTTATTTCATGAACATAAGGCATAAAAGTGCTCTAATATAAATATTGGTCAATTCTAACTCTATTTTTCAAGATCGGACTAAAAGCCGCCCCTCACTCTCTCTCTTTATTAAAATCTTAAAAAAACATATGAAGGTACATTATTTTGAAGTACAACATAATAGTTTTCAAATAAAAAAATACTGACATTTTGCCGATGGAACTTATAGTTGGATGCCCTCATGTATCAATGGGAAGAGCTTTTTTTTTTTTTTTTCGGTTTACCTACCTACACAGAAGAAGGCCACTTCTAGTTGGATGCCCTCATGTATCAATGGGAAGAGTTTTTTTTCTTTTTTTTTTCGGTTTACTTACCTACATAGAAGAAGGCCTCTCTCTCTATCTTTGATAGGTCAGTGGGGATGACAAGCCCCTACTTATTTTTTAAATAGACAATTTTTTTTTAAAATCCTCTCTATCTTGGATAGGTCAGTGGGGATGACAAGCCCCTACTTATTTTTTAAATAAATAATTTTTTTTAAAATAGACAATTTTTTTTTTAAAATCCGTAGTGAGAATGGAGATCAAGACTTTTTACTGTGTTAAGATTTATTGTGTTTAGATGGTACTACCACCACGACCCAGTCCTATTCCCAAAATGTTCCTCTCTCTTATGGACATATCTAACATATTTATAATCTTAGTGTTGATGATCAATGCATTTTCTTTTTCTTCTTCTGATTAGCTGGCCGGTTTCATAATCCTCTCGTTGTGTCGTTAGTTAAATAGTTGTTAATAAGTCTTTCCTTTTTCTGATCTCGTAAGCTCTTGAGGGCCCTTAATCCTCTATTTTTCATCGCATAAGTTGAAAATGGCATCTTCAATAAACATTATACACATAACATATAGATCTTATTATACAACAAAATAATTAATACAGAGATAAGGCAAACATAAATGCTCTTAAAGAGAATATACATGCGAAAATATAATGCATCTTTTGCGGCCTATTCCAAGTAAGATTGGTTTTTCTCGCCATTTACATTAATCAAAACTAGATATACATTATAGCTAAATAAATAAGGTAAGTTTTTATATCCATCTGCTGAAAGCCCAATTTCTCTTTTTGAATTTCCTTTTACTCAAGAATATTTTTTAAGTTTATATTAAAAAAAAAGGGTCTTCCATTACTTTCTTTTTTCTTTTTCTTTTTAGCTTTTATTGATTTTTTTCTATCGCTGTATATTTTATTTAAGGTGTGGTTTTGCATAAGGTTGCAACCTTAAAAATGAAAGTAAGGCGAACATTAAACTTTGTCATAAGATACAATTTTAGCATAAAAAGTTATTAGGATCATGCGAGAATCTATTTTTATCTTTAATTATAAAATTTTGAACTCCAAAAAAGGTTCGATTCAAGCAGATCTATAAACATATGAAAATCGAAAACATGGACAGTCCAGATAATGATCTCAAGATGTACTATGTTTAGGGTTTGGAATTTCTTGTTTACTCCAAATCTATACATCTCAATGTCGAGATCATTTATATTTTTTTCCAAAAAATCATTTGTTGCTTTTTCTCTCCATTCGCAGAAACCCTCCGTTCTCTTTTGAAAGTTACTTTTTTCTAAATAATATTTTTAGGGATTGTCTACAAAGAGACCATATATTTTTTGTACATGGAGGTGTCAATCACCCTTGTCCCTTAAATTCCAAAATGGGTGGTTGTAAGAGCACCATTGAATAGACACAAAGTTCTAAAACTAAAATCCTCGGACTTCGTGACTTACCAAAAGCATCTAATTTGATATCTAATGAGTGAGAATGATTGTGATCTCCATGTACCAAAGATAAATGGTTTTCTGGTAGACAATCCTATGCTTTGAAAGTTTCTAATGAAGAATAGCTTTTATCTCCCTTCTTCTTATTCTTGTACGTTTTATTTATTTTTATTTTTATCAATATATATTTAGTTTATGCTACTAAATACTAGCATTTTCATTGTGAAAATCAGTATTCCATGAATATGCTTCAGTTGTTTGAATGCTTGTAGATATCTTTCAACCGAGCTGCTAAATTTTAGCGTCGAAATATTCTTATTGCTGTATATTGTGTGCTTTGATTAAACGAATGTTTTGGAGTTCTAGATCACTGGGGCTTGATTTGACCGTTAGAAATCCGAGTAATTACAAATTCCCTGTTCTCATGGACATTTTTGTACTGGTATTTACATTTAATGAAGCAGGCAAAAACATATGAGAACATATTAAGAAGAATATGCAATATTTAAGATTCCTTGCTTTCGGCAAAATAAATTTCAGGTTTTGTCATTGTAAAAGGCCCAATGAGTGCTATAATGTATATCGCCCCATATAAACTAGAAGTTTTCTTTCAAAACCTTTCACCTTAAAAAAGAATAGAAGAAGAAAAAAACCAACTAGAGCATCGTATTCGCAAAACTCTGAATTTTTCTTTGGTGGAAGTAGGCTAACACAGATGATGATATACAAAGGAAATGGATGATGATCTCCTCTCTAACTTCCCTTTTATAAATAAATACGTAAAGAGAAGAAATGATGAGGCAAATTGCCTTTAGAAGTTTTGGATCTCAAGATAAAATTGTTATTTTCAAGATCTTTTGGTCACCAGGATGTAATTGTCATTTTCAGGATTTGTTTTGGTTAGGGACTAAGTTGTCATTTTTTCTTTGTTTTGGGCCTTCTCTTTGTTTGTTTGGTCATTTTGGAATTTGTTAAGATCTAAAGAATTTGGTGTAGAGACAAATAATTTATTGGGTAAAAGTTTTCATGAGTCAAAAAGTCAAAATTATATAGTTTCAATGTATAGGAATTTGGCTTTATGAATAGCAATTTGGGTGCAAGAAGGTTGCATAAAAAATAGGGCACAAGGGTAATCTAGTTATTATCACACTTTAATAGGGTATTTTGGTAATTCTTTAGTTCCAAAAAATTGGTTTTATACATGTAATTTGTTGTAACTGTTAGCTAGTATTGTTCATAATTTGCTAATGAAATCTTCTTTCTCCTCCTAATTATAAAGAGAGAGTGAGAGAGTTCCCATCTTTATGTACCAAGAGTATCTTGAGTTGGAACGTCATCTTTGTGTACTATGAGTACCTTAAGTTTGACAAGAGTTAAGGATAAAAAATCCCCTTTCTCTTGATCAAGATCAAGGAAGTTGGGTCGTTGTTGCACAATCAGCCTCAGATTTATACTTTGCAGTGCCGGTTTTGTACCATTTGGTATAAAAGCATTCTCATAGATTGAAGGGACCACTTTTCCCTTCCTTGACGGTGATTGAAGAGTTTTGTTGCTTAACCGGTCTCAACCTTCTCAGTTGGTGCCTAGTTTTGCACTATTTGGTATCAATGCCACAGTTGGTGAGTGTCATCAATCGTGACGGTTGCTCGTGGTTGGGGTCGTGGCTAAATAAGTGTAGATCGTGAACTTGATAGGTTGGCAGAAACTGTGCACCATCCAATGGAGTCGGGGGATTTGCTTTTGCAAGATCAAAATCAGCAAAATGTGAGAAGATCCCTAGTCATATATCCCTTACATGAGGGCTTGTTTGGTGAGCACCATGAGTCAGAGATGGAGATGACTTCTACTAGCTAAAAAACAGAAGCTGATTCAAGCAATAGTATTGGTACACAAAGGTCTCAGTGAAGTCATAAGTTGGATGGTGACCTAAGTGTATAAACCGAGAGGAGTAGAAGAGCACGATGCCATGATGATGACTAAAGTATTAAAGTTGACTTTCTTGAATTTGCTGGTAATTTATCACCAGAAGAGTTCTTAGATTATTGAGTGCGGTAAAAAGATTCTTGCATGGAAGGATTTGTTGGATGCAGAGAAAGTAAAATTAGTTACAATTAAGCTTCAGGGACTTGCGTCCATTTGGTGGGGTCAAGTGCACCAAACAAAATTGCGAAAGGAGAAAGATAAGATACAAACTTGGACAAAAATGGGGGCAAAGTTTCATGAGAAATTTCTTCCTCCAAACTTTGCACAAATAGTGTATAAATAGTTTCATCAATTAGAAGTCAGTCCATGAGTATACAAACTTCCATCGCTTGTCCTTGCACACGGGGTTGGATGATGGATGAGATGAATGACTAACAAGTTACAATGTATATCTCAAGTTTGTGGCTTCAAGTCCAAAATGAACTTTCCTTGCAACACTTGTCTCGAGCATAAATGGCATTTAGGTTGCATGTGCGCCGAGGAGAGGTAAAAAATGAGTACTAGATTTTTAGGTTTTGGATACTTTATTATTGTTGTATGTCATGAAATATTGTATATGTAAATGCAAATGCAAATGACAATGTGAACTACACAGATTTTAGGAAAAAAGCCCCGGCTTAATTGATTAGCCCTTGACAATCTGCAACGCTATGTCCTAGGCCCAATTCCTACCAAAGGTAGGGACCCTCTCCCTACTGACTCACCCAAAACAAAACACTATATAAATTTAATATATATATATATATATATATATATATATATATGATAGAGTTTGTAAAG